CATAAGACTTGGTGTGGGTGTCTTGTTTGTCATAGGCAAAAGCAACTAGTAAATTCTAATTAAACCAGTTTGTCCAAAATGTATGTTTTGCTCCTACTGCTTAGCACCTGTGTAACAGGACAACTCTTTAATCTTAAGCCTTTGTTCCTTTAGCTCTAAAATGTGTCTAGTAACAGTGCCTACACTTCTCCCCTCCTCCTCTTTGAAACCATCACTTTCTTTGACCTACGTTCTCTGGACCATCTTCCATTAAAAATCCAAAGTTTTTTTTTTTTTCTTTTTCCCTCACTTCATTTACAGGAAGAACAGGAAACAAAAGGAGTTGCTTTGAGATGTGGGTGCAAGTTGGCTAGGCTCAAACTCAGGTGAAAAAATTTACTCCCTTACAGCAGCCTCATGGTCCAGGCAGTTCAAATCATAAGTCAGAAATGTTGAAAATTGCTTCCTATCCTGAACCTACAGGGTCAGTCACTTTTAATTTGAAATCTTAAAAGAAATACAAACATCGATTATTACATGTTTCTTCTCGGTGCTGAGCTATTACTATTTAATAAATGGAGTTACTATCTTACAATTCCTATAATGCTTGAATGTTGAGAAATTCAAAGTTTGTTTCTCTGCCCAATGACCACATTTGTACAGTTGTTCTTAAATGGAACATTTAAGGAGAGTTATGATGTTTAAATCTCATGTGACAATTACAGATGAATTTTATTTTAGAGGCCTAAGGAATAGTAAACCTCCTAATCCGTATTTTTTCTCAAGACCTTCTGTTTTGAAGGATAATGTATATCCACAGTGTCCTCAGGCCATCTGTGGCCTGAGACGTCAAGGATGAATGGAATAAACAAACTGAGATGGGTTTTGTTTTTCTGTAATCTCCTAAAATGAGTTTATCATTTCTGCACCAATGAAAATGTGGATACTTTTGTTTTTGTGGTTTGCCCTGGCAGCCTGTCAGGTTAAACCAATTCTGACTTCTTTTTCTGACTTCTTCCTTTGGTGCACAGCAGAGCAAATTTATGGTTGTATATAATAGGAGAGGTTTCTCATATAACTTCTAGTTATATGCAGTAGGTAACAGGATGTACTGACTATAAATACCACTAGTATATATTAACTTGATTTTGTAGCCTTATTCAAACTAGAAACCACCTGGCTAAGGTAAAGAAACATCTTTAAACAGAAATTGTTCCTCTCAGCAGGTTTCTTACTGGCCCACTTAGACACGAGCTTGGCTTCCTATAAGCCTGGCACAGCTGGCTGTGTATTTCTTCCCCGGTCTCTTTTGCTCAAGAAAAACACAATCACTTTCTTATTGTCTACAGGAAAGGTTTTACCTTTCAGGACTGGAGAGCAAATGGCCATTTTGCCCACAAAAGTGATTTACTTTTAGGTAGGATGACTACTAATGAACTCTCTTTTACTGTTTTTGTCAGAAGAATATGGTTTATTCTCCTTTCATCAATCATTCAATTGCCTCATCAGTGATGTCTCGTTGTTAGTGTCAGCCTTTTCTAGGGTTCCCTAACTTCTCCATCTCTTATGCGATCTTCAGCAATCTATCAAATGCAGATGTATCTCACTGCAAAGGGCTATTCCAGTGGATTTGAGCCATCTTTAAAGTTAATGGACTTTTTGTGTCTCCTACATGAATGACACTGATAGGATATGTTCTCATCTGTAGGCTCAGGGAAGAATTTATGGAAAAATTAAAGAAGAGAACTTTGTTAGTCCTAAGGAAGAAGTGAAACTTGAAGCTCATATCAGAGTGCCATCCTTTGCTGCTGGCAGAGTTATTGGAAAAGGAGGCAAAACGGCAAGTACTTCAGCAAAACCTGTGCAGTGGTATGAAAGGGAGAGCATTGAAAGGTACTTAGGAGTTCCAAGTCCCTGAATTTTGGCTAATTTATAAAAAGCAGGACCATCTGGGCCAAGGTTTGGAGAAGATTGTCTTTTGTTCCTCCTGAGTGTTGGTGTTTGCTACTAGTGAAAGTAATGCCTCTCTTTCAGACCACTTTGCGTGAGAGGACTGTCTCATTTATATAAGGGGCATTTAGCATTTTTCCGTTGATATAACCTCAGCTTTTTTTTTTTATTGCACAATGACATGCAAAGAAAATTTTTAAAATTTTCATCTACTTTTATAACGTGTACCTCTGTAACTGAAAAAAGCAGATGGTTTCAAGTTTCTCTTTAACACATGTAACTTCTAGGTCATTTTCAAAGCTATTTACAATTCTGAAGTGATTGAGGGCGTACATTTTGGAATCAGACTTTTAGGGGTTGAATCTGGTTCTGCCATTCACTTAGGTAACTTTGAGCAAGTCACTTTCTTTGGCTAAGCCTTAGTTTTCATCATCTTGCAATGAGGACAATATTAATAATCTGATAGGATCATTAGATTGGATGAAATTTATAAAGCCAAAGCTAGTGTTTGGCACATAGTAAGTGCTCAGGAAATGGTAATTAAACAAAAAAAAAAACAAAAAAAAAACCTTAACATGATTTGTATTTATCTTTTTCAGGTGAATGAGCTCCAGAATTTGTCAAGTGCAGAAGTTGTTGTCCCTCGTGACCAGACGCCTGATGAGAATGATCAAGTGGTGGTCAAAATAACTGGTCACTTCTATGCTTGCCAGGCAAGTGGGCTCTACTGTGATAAGGAAGCTCTTTTGCTTCTTTCTCTAATGGAAGTATCCTCTGTGCACCCCCAAATATTTAAGGTGGTTTGATGCTAAACACTTTTAATTCCCCCTTTTAGCAGGTGATTTCAGGGACTACTAGCAAACTAAACTAATTAGTATGTATCTTTAATCTTCAAAGTTGTTGAAATGGAAAAGTGAAGCACCTTTTGGTAACTGTTGATCAGGTAGGAATTTTAAAGCTCTCTCCTTTTGTAGGTTGCTCAGAGAAAAATTCAGGAAATTCTGACTCAGGTAAAGCAGCACCAACAGCAGAAAGCTCTGCAAAGTGGACCACCTCAGTCAAGACGGAAGTGAAGGCTCAGGAAGCAGCCACCACAGAGGCAGATGCCAAACCAAAGACAGACTGCTTAACCAACAGACGGCGCTGAACCCCTATCCAGAGTCACGTGCACAAGTTTTTACTTAGCCAGTTGTTTCTGAGGACCAGGCAACTTTCGAACTCCTGTCTCTGTGAGAATGTATACTTTATGCTCTCTGAAATGTATGACACCCAGCTTTAAAAAGAAAAAAAAAAAAATATTTCTAAAACAAACCGAAGAGATACTTTGCATATTCCCTTTTGTTGTATTCTCAGTGTAACAAATATTCTAATTTTTCTTAATATTCCCCCATGATGCCAGAAATTGGCTTAATGATGCATTCACTAAATTCATCGAATAAATAAAAGTAGATTGCTCCTAGGTCCAACTGTTAAAATTGGATCAGAATAGAATTATTACAGGAACTTAAATGTTAAGCTATTAGCATAGAAAAACTGTTCTCAGTTTTATTTTTATCTAACACTAACATGAATAACCTAAGGGAAGTGCTGAATGGTGTTGGCAGGGGTATTAAACGTGCATTTTTACTCAACTACCTCAGGTATTCAGTAATGCAATGAAAGCAAAATTTTGTGTTTTGTTTTGAAAAATTTATATACTTTATAAAGATAAGTCCAACTGTTTTTTAAAAAATAAAACTTAATTAGCTAACAGGCAAATGACAGAAAAAAAATTTTACTTCCGGCTGGTGACAGTAGAGCTGGAAAACTAATTTCAGGTTTTTTGAGGCTTTTGACAGTTATTAGTTGGAAAATCCAATAAATGTTCAATGACATGGAGCAGTGCCTATATTTGGAGAGCAGCAATACCATTTATTTTTTTGTTTATGGTAGGGAAAAGTTTTTGATGGTACTAACAGAGCAAAGTGGTTGCAGGAGGTTTTGGAATGGCTAGTTTAAATGGCTTCAGGAGACTTCAGTTTTTTGTTTGGCTACGTGATTGAATACATAAATGCTTTGTGCTTCTGACTATCACTACCTAAAGAAAGTGCATCGATGAAGAGATGCAGCCCCTGTGGACTTTAAACTGATTGGCAAAAAGCAAGCCTCAGCTTGTCTGACAGGTTGCTTAGTTTGCCAGTACACCTCAGACCAGTTGGTCTACGCTTTCAGCAGACCCCAAAAGAATTGCTTTGTGAAGACAAATGGGGCAGTCAGATGGTGTGACAGTGTTTAAAGGCAATAAAAGGCTACATCTGCATGTGCCAGGCACTGTCATGAGCCTCACTAAGCTGTTTTGAAGATTTTTAGATGATGATAAATCGAGAAAAATAAAAGGCTACCTAAAATATTACATAAAATGCAGCAGGATTTCTGTATTCTCTGCAACCAGTTATTGTTAAGAAAATTTTTGGAATGTAATTCGAATGACTGTGATAAAATATTCGACCTTTGATACTGAATTTATTTGCCTATTTCGTAACTTGATGGCAAAGCGCAGTATGTACAATTATGTGGGTGTGGGTGGTCTCCAAGGCCACACTCTCAGAATTGTGTTGCTTTTGTTCATAAAATGATCACAGTCATATTACACTGATCTGAAGGACATATAACCCCTTAAAAATCATTTTGCCTCATTTGTATTTCAAGATGAATTTCTACAGACTAGGTAAGTTTTTCTGATGATATGCATATCAGACATTTTGAAAATGACTTGAAATGTTTTCCTAAATGTTTTCAGAAAATCAGTTTATTTTGTAGTTTTAGCCAAAAAGTGCCCTTTTTGTCATTGATTTCATCTAGCATTCATAATTTTTTTTTTCATACAGTGAATTCCTTAAAAAAAAAAAAAAAAAAATCATGGACTGGCTTTCTGGTTGGTTTTCAGGTGAGATGTGCTTAAGGCCAGAGCTCTTCCTCAGTATTCGATTTTTCCAATATTTGAATATTTGATGTTTTGTTTTTTTTAATACAGATAGGTGCTGCATTTATATCTGCTGGTTTAAATTCTGTCATACTTCACTTCTAGCCTTTTAGTGTGGCAAATCATGTTTTACTTTCAATTAAGCATTGGTAATAGAGTATCTGGTAATAGCTAGGAAATTATTCTGTAACTGAATTTGTACTCACCGCATATGGATCATTCTTCATCTGCAATGTGCCCCAAATGAAGCTTCATTTTCCAGATACCTTGATGCAGAATAAAGTTTTTCATCATTAGGTGCAGCTTGATGTGTAATATCTTTTATTTTTGGTTTGTTAAATAAATGTGAACGTTCTGAATTTGATCAAATTAAAAACTTAGATTTTTGAGTAATATTATATCAGTCTCAAGTTAAGCACCAATATCTACTGGTAAATTATTTTCTCCATTCCGTGGTACTTAGTGTGAACCTTGGTAATACTGTTGCATATGAACTAAGAACTACAGGCTTTAAGTAAGAGGACCAGTGGGGTGGTTATGTTTTTAATTTAAAAGTAAGTTTTTGGCTAGTCCATTCTACAGAATGAGATTTATACTTAAGCAAAATTAAAATCTGAGCAGAGAGCTCAGGTGAAGCACAGGGGACCAGTGATAACTCTAGGAAATCCTGCTGGGATGTCAGGAATAAAGACATTAAAATTTTAGTTGATGATCATTACCTAAAATCTCCACATCCAGATGTCAGTTAGCATGAGTGCCAAGACTTGTTTTGATAACAACTTACCCAATTAGGTGGAGTTTAAGAACTATATTTTTAAGAAGTGAAACAATCCCAATTTAATATGTCTAAAACAATATCATTTTATTCACATTGGAACTCCACTGAAGTCAGGGATGAAGTGTCATCTTCCATTCCAAGAACGAAGTCTTCAGGTAATGTCTCAGGTGCTATCTGAGCTAACTGGTCATCATAAGAACGTAGGGTCCATAATTTCTCTAATTCGTAAGTTTCTCTGGTTTCTGGAAGCATCAAATGAATCACCATGCTGCCTATCAAGGACAGATAAGAGTTAAAATGAAGCAGTGCTTTTGCTTTTATTCTTGTGATCTCAACCCTCTGACAGTTCACAGTATAACTACAGACACTCGAGCAGTGGTTCTTAAAGTGTGGACCACAGATGAGCATTTGGAAATTTGTTAAAAATGCAAACTGGACCCCATCCAGCAAAATACCATGGAGGAAGTGCCGCTGTGCTTTTTTCTCTGTGCATCATACAGAGAGGTACAGGAGGTACATGAAGTCAATATGTAACATTACTCAAGCATTAATTTCACCTTAACTTTATTCAAGTGACTAAAGGTGAGGTCTAAAAGGTTTCTCTTGGGAGACAATTATCCAAATATGTCACATTTCTGTACATCCTGCAAGCAAAGCGCTACCTTTTGTTCTGGATTATCTTTTTAAGGATGTTTATATGGTGAATAGTCTCAGAAAGATACTGTCTTGAACAGAAGGCAGGTTTGCTTATAGCAGTGGTTTTCAATCAAGGACATTTTTGATTTTCATAATTGGTTTGTACAGAGAAGGGATATTGCTCTACATCCTGCCCACTCCCACCAAAATTACCTGGTCCAAAATGTTAGTAGTGACAAAGTTGAGAAACCCTTATAACCTTGCTAGAAAAAGTGTCTTCTGCCAGAGTAAATGCAGGCCTGCTTCCTGTCCATTATAAAAGATGTGGATATCCTAATCTTAGGGTTCCTCTCAGAAATGTGCGTGCAAACTTTCTGTTGCCCTATAGAAACAGGGTTTGCTCACTACTGCTATTGCTGTAATAAACTGTCCTTCATCTCTAACCCTGGAATAATCTTGAGTTTTGGCTAACTTGTTAGCTTAAAAGTAAGATAAAATCTCAGACCCCTGATCATTCTTGACAGTTACTGTTTCTCTCTTTGTAATAAGTACCTTGTGGGGAAATACTTTGAAACTCTATATTAATACCCACATTTGTTAGGTCTTTTCAAAATTCTAGTCCTGTGCCTGGAGTGTTCTTCACCTTTACCTCAGCTGAGTTAAGGCCAAGGTTACGTGGATCCCAAGCTTTCTACCACCACTAAGAGATCTCTACCATGTTATCCATCCTATTCTCTATCATTTTTCTGACTTGTGTGACTAATTATATGCATACCAGGTTAGGTGAACATTTTACCTGTAAGACCATCTGGGTTATAAAGAAACAAATTTCAAAAATTTTACATGGAAAAACACCCAGCAATTTGATCTCAATCCCTTTGCAGCTGAATATAGCTTAAGATTAGTGATATACCAAATATTTATCTGTAAAAAGTGCCAAAATAACTTACCAAAGTCCACGCAGAGCCAGTCATCAGTGTCCTTCCCTTCAATCTTAACATGAGGCTCACTTTTACATTTCAGGAATTTGTACTGAAAAAAGGCAGGGCATATATTTAAAGTGAAAAGGTATGGGGGAATCTGCTCATACTGAGGGTCTGGGGGTATTATTCTTGGTCTCGATTTGATAGCTAGCTTGTTCATTCCTCATACTTTGCCCCATAATTAATAACTTAGGGAAATTATTTCCCCCCTAAATCCTACTCACCTTCTACATCTCTCTCCTGAATCCTCCTGCCCAAACCCTTCTGATAAGGCCACCCTACTCATTCACCATGGTGTATTTGATGCAGAAGGCTAAGCTCATTCAGAGTCTGGTCCTCACCTACCTTATCTCTTCTGTCTATCCCAGCTTTCCTTCACTCTCAGGGGAGGCAGATGCTGCCTTCCTGTTTTAAGGCCGGGTCTTCTCAATTCAATTGATTCCACCTCAACTACCTTTACGACAATGTTAATGGGACTTTATCATCCTTGTTTCTATTTCCAACAGAGACCATGAATAGTCTAAAACATAGATACACTAATATCACAGGAAAGAAGACACTTTAAGTTGAAAACTATTATGAGATGAAGAACAACAATGCGAAAAGGTTCCATTAACCAAGATGCCAGAATATAGAAATACGCACAAAAAAATCAGAGCTCCTAAACATGAAACACTGACAGAAATAAAGGAAGAAACAAATGGCAACACAATAATACAAGACAGGGGTCCCCAATCTTTGGGCCATGGACTGGTAGCCATCCATGGCCTGTTAGGAACCGGGCCATACTGCAGGAAGTGAGCAGCAGACAAGTGAGCAAAGCTTCATCTGTATTTGCAGCCGCTCCCCAGTGCTGGCATCACTGCCTCAGCTCCACCTCAGATCATCAGGCATTAGATTCTCATTGGAGCACCCATCCCTGGTACCAAAAAGGTTGGGGACTGCTGATATAGGAGACTCAATACCCCATTTTCAATAATAGAACAACCAGACAGAACATCAATCAATAAATAGAAATCCTGAGCAATACTACAGAGCAACTGGACACAACAGACATTAACAGGACATTCCATCCAACAGAAAAAAAAAATTTTTCTTAAGAGCACATGGAGCATTCTCCAGGATAGATCATATGTTAGGCTACAAAACAAGTCAATAAATTAAAAAAAATAAATCACATAAAATATATTTTCTGATCAATGGAAAGTAGGAATCAGAAGGAAAACTAGAAAATCCACATATATGGAAATTAACACACTTTTAAAAAACCAATGGGTTAAAGAACAAATCACAAGGAAAAATTAGAAAATATTGAAAGAAATTAAAATACAACATCCCAAAACTTAAGGGATGCAATGAAGACAGTGCTAAGAGGGAAATTTATAGCTATAAATGCTCACGTGAAAAAAGTTCTCAAATCACAAACTTAAATATACACCTTAAAGAATTAGACAATGAACAAATTAAAGCTAGTAAAAAGAAGGAAACAATGCACAGAGAAAAACAAGGCAAAAATCAATGAAAGCAAGATTTGGTTCTTCAAAAACATCAATAAAACTGACAGATCTTTAGGTTAAGAAAAAAACAGATGACTCAACAAATCGAACAAGCAAGGCAACATTACTATCAGTTTTAGATAAAGGATTATTATAGTGCTATGAACGACTGTACACAAATTAGATAATGAAATGGACAAATTCCTAGAAACATACAAACTACCAAGGCTGAATCACAGAAAAATAGAAAGTCTGAATGGAACCATTCAGTAACAGCAATAGGATTGAATCAGCAATCAAAAACCCCTCGACACAATTATATCTCAATTTTTTTTTTTTTTTTTAAAGGAAAACAGGAAAAACGCCTCCCAGCAAAGAAAAGCCCTAGACCAGATGGCTTCACTGGTGAAGTCTACCAATTACTCATTACAAAAACACAAATTCTTCTCAAATTCTTCTCAAAAAAATTGAAGAGGAGGGAACACTTTCTAACTCATTCTATGAGACTAGCTAGACAAAGACACTATAAAAAACTACAAACCATAAAACTTCTAGAAAAAAACATAGTAAACTCTCTGATATTGCTATTGGTAATTTTTTTTCCTGATACATCTCTTCGGTCAAAGGAAATAAAAGAAAAAATAAACGGGACTACATCAAAAAAGTTTTTGCACAGCAAAGGAAACCAACAAAATGAAAAGACAACCTACTGAATGGGTGAAGAATTTGCCTATGCTACATCTGACAAAGAGTTAATAACCAAAATTTATAAAGAACTCATACAACTCAACACTAAAAAACCAAACAATCCAATTAATAAATGGGCAGAAGACCTGAACAGGTATTTCACAAAGAAGAAATACAGATGGCTGACAGACATGAAAAGATGCTCAAGGTCACTTATCATCAGAGAAATGCAAATTAAAACCACAATGAAATATCACCTCACACCTGTCAGATTGGCTATCATCAATAAATCAAAAAACAAGTGTTGGTGAGGATGTAGAGAAAAGGGAACCTTCACACACTGTTGGTAGGATTGCAAATTGGTACAGCCACAATGAAAAACAGTTTGGAGGTTCTTCAGAATGTTAAAAATAGAACTACCTTTTGACCCAGCAATTGCACTTCTGGGTATTTATTCAAAGAAAACCAAAACAATAGTTTGTAAAGATCTATGCACCCCTATGTTCACAGCAGCCAACATATGGAAGCAACCTAAGTACCCTCCAATAGATGGCTGGATAAAGAAGTTATGTACATATATACAATAGAATGTTACTCAGCTATAAAAGATGAAATCTTAACCATTTGCAATGACATAGATGGACCCAGAGGGTATTATGCCGAGTAAAAGATAAATGCCATATGATTTCACTTAGATGCAGAATCTAAGGAATAAAAGAAACTAAACGAAAACAGATTCAGATACAGAGTACAAACTGGTGATTGCCAGAGGGGAGGAGGGTTGGGCTGGGTGAAAAAGGTGAAGGGATGAAGAAATACAAGTTAGTAGTTACAAAACAGTCACAGGGATATAGAGTACAGCATAGGGTGGGTATACAGTCAGTATTATTGTAATGGCTGTATGTAGTGCCAGATGGCTGCCAGAGTAATTGGGGGGATCATAAATTACATAAATGTCTAGCCATTGCACCGTGTATCTAAAACTAATATAAAAAGAAATCGTCGAATTTATAGGAATAAAAAAGATGGCCTTGAATAGACTGATGCTAGAATGCAATGAACTGAAGAGTATAAATCGACTATACATCTGAGTTCCATACATCTGAGTCCATCTCCCATCCACCATACCACAAGAGAAGGGAAATTCCATTTTGAAAATAATGAGGAAGGGAAAAAATAGAATGAGTTATAATGAAACACAAAGGAGGAGGCATGTCAGGTTGTCAATCAACACCATTTATAATACAGTAACCAGAGCCACAACCTTAGCCAGAAGTCCTCTACAAGTGGTATAGGAGATGCTCCTGGGTCAAGGACGAGGTATTCCACAGAATGTGACTCTGGGAGCACTGATTTCTCCACTCACACATATGATGGGACACTGCTGAATGTCAGTAAGCCAGGGGTCAGTCCCTGAGATGGGTAGTAGATGTGCAGGGATTTACTGTTAGACTAGGACTCTAGTTGATGAGAGACCGAGGATACAAACAAAAGCAGAGCTGGACCAGACCAACTCTATCTTGTCACCTCGGCCATGGGTATCTTCCTTTTGTGCTTCCTTTTGTCCCCTTACCTTGAAACACCACACTTCTCACTCTCTCAGCTCTCACTAATTCTATTCCAAGTATGGAAGGCCAAACTGTTCCCCAAAACCTACATAGAGAGGTCATTGACTGTAATGCCTAGCAGTAACTAGAACTCAAAGCTAACGCATGGAGACTAAAAAACAAGTATGAGCTGTTGAGTGGAACAAAATGAAACAAAACAAAAAACCACAGACCAATATCCTTGATGATACTGCTGCAAAAATCCTCAACAAAATACTAGCAAACCAATTCAACAGCATATTAAATAGATGACAGATAGATAGATGGATGATAGGTAGGTAGATGGACAGGTAGAGTCCCCAAGTGAGTGGGAATTATTCCTGGAATGTAATGATGGTCCCATATGAAATCGATGCAATAAACCACATTAACAAAATGAGGGATAGAAACCTTAGGATAATCAGCCCACAGCTATTATACTCATGGTAATACCTATCCTCAAACTATTCTAAAAAAAGAAAGGGAAAGCACCCAAACTAATTCTACAAGGCCAGCATTACCAATAACAAAACCTGACAAAGAGATCACAAAAAAAGAAAATCCAAGGCCAATATCCCTGATAAACATAGGTGCAAAAATCCTCAGGAAAATATTAGCAAACCAAATTCAGCGATACACAGAGATACACCATGATCAAGAGGGATTCATTCTAGGGATGCAAGGTTGATTCCGTATCTGTAAATCAATTAACGTGACACACCACATAAAATGAAGAATATGATCATATCAATAGATGCAGAAAAAGCATTTGACAAAATTCAACATCCATATGATAAAAACGATCAGTAAAGTGGGTATAGTGGAAGCAAACCTCCACATAATGAAGGCCATGTATGACAAAGCCACAGCTATCATCATACTCAATGGTGAAAAGGTGAAAGGAAGCTCTATCAAAATACCAATGGCATTTTTCACAGACCTAGAACAAATAATCCTAAAATGTATATAGAACCACAAAGACCACAGACAGCCAACGCAATCTTGAGAAAGAACAAAGTTGGAGGTATCATGCTCCCCAATTTCAGAAGTACAAAACAGTATGGTAGTTGCACAAACACAGACATATAGATCAATGGAACAGAACAGAGAGCCCAGAAATAAACCCATGCTTACATGGTCAATTAATCTACAACAAAGGAGACAAGCATATATAATGGGGTAAACAGAGGCTCTTCAATAAATGGTACTGGGAAAACTAGACCACTTTGTTACACCACATACAAAAATAAACTCAAAATGGATTAAAGACAAATTTAAGACCTCAAATCATAAAACTCCTCAAAGAAATCATAGGCAATAAATTCTTTGACACTATCCTTAGCAATATTTTTTTTGGAAATGTCTCCTCGGGCAAAGACAACAAAAGCAAAAATATACAAACGTGACATCAATCAAAAAAGCTTTTGCGCCACGAAGGAAACCATCAACAAAATGAAAAGACAACCTACTGAATGGGAGAAGGTATTTGCAAATGATATATCCAACAAGAGGTTAGTACTCAAAATATATAAAGAATTCATACAACTCAACATCAAAAAAACAATCTTTAAAAAATGGGCAGAGGACCTAAATAGGTATTTCTCCAAGGAGGACATATGATGGCCAATAGACACATGAAAAGATGCTCACCATCATTAATCATCAGAGAAATACAAATCGAAACCATAATGAAGTGTCACCTCAAATCTGTCAGAATGGCTATTATCAAAAAGAGCAAGTGTTGGTGAGGATGTGGAGAAAAGGAATCTTCACGTACTGTTGGTGAGATTATAAACTGGTGCAGCCACTATGGAAAACAGTATGGAGGTTCCTTAAAAATTAAAAACAGAACTACCATATAACCTAGAAATCCCGCTTTTGAGTATTCAAAGAAATTGAAAACACTAATTCAAAAAGATAAATGTACCCCTATGTTCACTGCAGCATTATTTACAATAGCTAGGGTATGGAAGCAATCTAGGTGTGTATCAATAGAAGACTAAAGAGAATGTGGTACAAATATACAATGGAATGTTACTCGGCTATAAAAAAGAATGAAATCTTGCCATTCGCAACATGTATGGACCTAGAAGGCATTATGCTAAGTGAAATAATTCAGACAGAGAAAGATCAATACTGTATGATTTCACTTATATGTAGAATCTAAAAAACAAAATAAACGAACAAAACAAACTAATAGATACGGAGAACTAATGGTTGCCAGATGTAAGGGAGGTAGGGAGATGGGCAAATAAAGGTGAAGAGGATGAAGAAGTATGAACTGCCAGTTATAAAATTAGTCATAGAGAATAGTCAGTAATGTTGTAATGACTATGTATGCTGTCAGATGGGTACCACGCTTATCATGGTGATCACTCCTTAAGGTATATAAGCGTCTAATCACTATGCTGTATACCTGAAACTAATATAATATTGTATGTCAACTATAATTAAAAAATAAATTTAAAAAAAAAGCAGGGACATGAACATGTATTTCTACACTCACATTTATAGCAGCATTATTCATAATAGCCAAAAGGTGGAAACAACCCAAATGTCCATTAACTGAAGGAGATAAAATATGGTATTAACATACAATAAAATACTCTGACACATGCTACAACATGGATAGACCTTGAAAACATTATGCTAAGTGACATAAGCCAGTCACAAAAGGACAAATAGGATATGATTTCACTCATATGAAGTACTTAGAGTAGATAAATTTACAGACGGAAAGCAGAATGGTGGCTGCCTGGGTCTGGGGGGAAGGGACAATGAGAAGTTACTGTCTAATACGTACACAGTTTTCATTTTGCAAGATAAAAAAATTCTGGAAAAAGATGGTGGTTGTACAATGTGAATGTACCTAATGCCACTTAATTGTACACTTAAAAATTGTTAAAATGTTAAGCTTTAGATTACAAATATTTTTATCACAAATGACAAAAATTTCCTGACCTTGCTTTTTTCTCCCTCCTCAAAATTTTGGTAAAGTAATTTCTATTCCTCTGCTCTTCCTCTTCCATAGAAACTTCTCTGAAAAACCTCTTGCCCTTTTTATGAGTAAGCGGTCACTTGTAAATCTTCATCTTACTCTATCCCACTATTATGCCTGACAGAGACCCTGGCACCTTGTCTTATAACTCTTCTTCCTGCTCTTCTGTTTTTTTTTTAATCTTCCTTTGCTTTGCCATGTTGCCCCAGGGCTGTTTTCAGCCCCCTTATTTTTACCTCCCTTCTCTAGGCAATTCTAGCTATTCTTTTGGTCTTAATTATCCCCTCTATTACCAATGTTCAACAAAGTGAAAGAGGTATGTTCCCTGTAGAGTGGTATCAGAATCAGCTAAAGGCTGCCAAGTACATTTTCTTCCTCATTTTGATTCATATTCAGTCCAGGAATATGAATGCTTTCCCTTTTTACAACTAGATCTGTGAATCTAGAGGGTGAGGACTAAATCTTTTTCATTTTTATCTTCCCAATACCCAGAACAGTACTTGAGAACACTGGACATGCTCAAACATTTGAATCAAATTCTAAGCCATCACTATCCCATGGAACTTTTTGCAATTATGAAATGTTTTATAAGTGCAGTCCTCAACCTTTCTGGCACCAGGGACGAATGCTCCTATGAAAATCTAATGCTTGATGATCTGAGGTGGAGCTAAGGTGGTGATGCTAGTGCTGGAGAGCAGCTGCAAATATAGATGAAGCTTCACTCGCTTGCATACCCCTCACCTCCTGCTGTGTGACCAGATTCCTAACAGACCACGGGACAAGTACCCATCTGCGGCCTGGGGGTTGGGGACCACTGTTTTATAGTGTGCTCTCCAATATGGTAGCCATTAAGCCACATGTGGCCACTGAGCACCTGAAATTTGGCTAGTACAACTGAAGACTGAATTTTCAATTTTAACTTATAATTAAATAGCCACACATAGCAATGGCTACCACAATGGACAGCACTGCTCTAGAAATCCCTCTGGGTTACATTTACTGTCTTCTAGTCTGCCTCAGGTTATTTTTTAATATATTTTTTCCTTGTGGTCACAAGAGGCCTGACTTACTAGGGCTAGACATTTGTCTCCATAACTTTCACTAACTTTCACTAAAAATATAAAACACTCATGCAAATTCTGAAAATTTGGGCTTCTTATATAATCATATGATGGGTTCACTTTTCAAGTACTGCTCCTCAGCCTGATGCACTAACACTACTCCATTTAGCTAATGGTTCCAAAGAGAAAAGAAAGCATCTTACCATTTTCACAATGTAGTAGGCCATGGCATGTAAGTGTCGGGTAGATGTTCCACTAACAATCAGAAAGTAATCTGTATATTTCATTTCTGGAGGAACCTTGATCACGCAAATGTCTCTGGCATTTTCCTGCCTCAGAAGTGAAACCAGAGTATTGATGTCAAACTTGGGACCAGCATGATCTGAAATACACAAAGATTTGCTTATGTCGGTGGCCAAGTAGGAGACAGACACTGTATGCACCCAAAGATACAGGTGATTGACAGTGGAACTGTTCCATGAGGGTATTTAGATCTAAAATGTTTTGAAAGAAGGCAGGGCCCAGGCCTTCTGGAAGCTGAACCTGGGCAGTGGTTTTCATATAGTACTGCTCAGCTTTTATAGAAAGGGTGCTCAGGCTACACAGGCAGCGTACATCCTTTGCTAGTACCAATACAAGTAGAACCATACATCAGCAATAAATAACTTTCTGTTCACTGGTACTTGAGGAAATGAGCAATACACCTCAAACACAGAACTGCTATACAAAGAAAAACAGCAGCATAAGTTGGGGAGGTGGTGATATCCTGGGGCATATTAAATTGAACTGCGGGCATAAAGAATCACAAAACTAGAATTGTGAGTTGGAAGGGCTCTCAGCATCTGGTTCACAACCTTCACCTGATAAAGAAACTTAGGCCTAGCAGAAAGTATGTGGCCCCAAATCGACCAATGAGAATTAAAATTTCAATAGCAATTCTCATTTCGAACACTCGTTTTTCTTAAAAAACCATTTGGGCTACATAATAACTGTTATCTTTGAAAATCTATTCTTTTCCTGCAGAGTTAGATACGCTGTTTTTTACCTTACAGTATCACAGTATATAAATTTATTGCTCTCTTAAGTTCTACAAGGGACTCCCGGGGACCTAATGCCTTGTTCACAACACTTCTCCCTCTCATACACTATCTTTCCGCAAATGTGATCTATTTGTCATTTCTCAAGTGTCTAAAACCTTACAATGATTAGAGGACCTTAAATTAGCCCCATTTCCTGTTAGCGCTTCTTACACACCTCCTTCGCCCCAAGCCTCTGGCTCTTCCTCAGAATCCTCACGCCCGACACTATCAACAAATCCACTTCTCAGGACCCTAAGAAGAGTTTGAAAGGGGATAAGGACGGTGTGGTCGTTCAGACGCCTGCGGTTTTGGAGACGTCAAATCATCTCAGTTCCTTGACTGCGAAACGGCAAAGTTGGCGCCAACAACCTGTGAAGTGCCCTTGGAGCTCTGGATCTGAAAGAGTTTTGTGACTCCAAGAGACATGCATAAACAGGGGGACTCAGAGCCTCTTCAGCTGGGACCCGGCGCCCGGCTGCACGGAGGGGGCCGCCGCCACCCTCCTCCATGTCCGTACCTGCTGTGCCTAATTCCGGGCGCCCCTCGCCAGCTGCCCACTCCGCCCGCTCCTCCAGACCCGGCCCACCATGCAGGCCGCGCGCACGGCTGAGGGTCAAGCAGGCCCCGCTGACCGCTGGTCCCGCCGGAAGCTGCCCCGCGGCCAGCAGCGGAAGCCGGGACCCATCGCTTGCCCCAGACCCCGCTCGCGGGGACAGGGCCCTACGCCAGAGAAGCGTCCCGAGACGCCGCGCCACACAGCCGCCGGGACCCATCGCCGTCGCCGCGCCTCGACTCACGGGGCGGGGCTTAATGGAGCCCGAGCAGCTTTTGCGGCTTTCGATTGGCCAGGTCAATGAGGCGCGGCCTGGAAATTTGACGTCAGAAGCGTGGGCGGGACCAGGCCCGGAAGGCGGGGCCGTGGGCGGAGTCTGAAGCCCGCCCGGGACCGCTGTGGCGGGGATAAACTAACTCGGGATTAGGTTTTGAGGAGTCCGAGGACCAGTAGTAGTGCCTCACCTTTCTTTGCCCTATGTCGTAGTGACGCAAAACGTCGTCCTTTTTTCTTGTTTTTTGATCTGCCTATGTTCACTGGAATGTAAACTTGAGGAAGGCAGATTTTTTGTTTGTTTTTAACATTTATTTCCACAGCGCTGGTACTGAATGAACGGAAATTGCTGCTGATGATTAGATTGGAATTAGGATATAGCATTTTTTAACCATTTCCCATTACCAAAAAAATTATCAGGATTCTCTTGAAATCCCAATAGGAAAATCTATTATACAGGGGTGGGTGGGGTGGGAGGGTGGGAGGCAGAGGTGGAAAGGATCGTTTGGAAAATGCTTTTTTTAGTAGGTCAACCCTTCATGTACGTTCCCCATATGGACTTGTTTATGCCAATGGACTGCACTGTGGGACCCACCTCTGTGAGAATAAGGAATGCTGAGGTGCAGTTACAACACTAAACCACAGACAGGATTTGAGAGCTGAGAGATCCCAGGGGGAAAAGTCACTTGCCTGTGGCCATGCTGGAACCAAAAGCATGTTCTGAACTCCTGGTCTGGTGACTTCTGAAAGGAAGAGGCCCCTAGAAGGGGAAAAATGCCTGGAACAGTGCTAAACACATAGTAGATGCTCCAAATGCTTGATGCATTATTTAATTTCTTTATAAGAAATATCTCTAAGTACTAATTTTGGAGAAATTAAAAACTAAGGAAACTAATACAAGCACCTATGTGTACCACCCCCAAATATTTACAATCGTTTTGAGTATAAGAATAAACTATTATGGATAAAATTAAAACTCATCGTCTACCTCCATTTCCCCATAGGCATGGATTTGGTGTTTCTCCCAGCTTTTGCCATTAGTTCCACGTTCCCACCCTTTTCTCTGAACATCTCAAATTTACTTTACCGCCTGTTTTTAACATCTCATTTAGTGGATCATCATCCCCTAAATCTCCTGAACTGTGGACTGTATTCACTCCAGGATCTCCCTGTAACAACTAATCCATTGTCAAATCCTGCTTGTGCTACCTCTAAAACATTTTTTGAATCCAACTTCTGTCTTCATTCCCACTCTTCCTTCCTTAGTCCACACCCTCATAAGCTTTTGTCTAATTGCTGAGAAAGCCTCCTAGCTGGCTTTCTGGTTTTCAATCCGTCTCTGCTCTTTCCACCCTCCATGCTGCCATGCTGCCATCTAGAATTACTTTAGCCTCTGCTTTTTGCTGTTTTCCAGACACACCATAACCTTTCAATGCCAAGCTTTGCACATGCTATTCCATTTTTTGAGTGCCCTTCTTCCACTTTTTCACATGACAAACTCAGATTCTGTAACTGAAACATTAAGACATCACCCCCTACTCTCTCAGATGGTCCTTCAGAAATCTCTCATCCCTTTGTTCATAAAAATGTCAGGATGCAGCAGTTGTTTAAAAGAAAAAAATGAGGGGGAGGGGTTTGCTTTGCCCTTTGTTTTCTATAAAATGTGATTCCTTTGATTTCCTAAGGAGGTTTCTTCTGCAGAAATCCTCCTGACTCAAGCCACTCAAGGGATCTTTGCTTCCTTCTTTTTGCTGCCGTGTGTTCTCTTTAGGGCTCTGAAATAACATGGTTATTATCAAATTAAGATCCAAACAGTTCTTTCAAGGGGGCCCATCGAAAAAATGTTAAGTAGCAACAGCTGTGATGAGATGTTGGGCAAATCAGAATGGCCTGCACTGATTATAAGTCAATAAATTAAAGGTAATTCTAAATTAAAAGGACCCCAGTTGAGAAGAATTCTAAGCCAGTGTTCTATTTCAAGGGTACTTCCTTGCCTCTACTTTTCCTTCTCGCTGAAATGTTCAGATTCTAGGCTACATAGGCAGTGACAGCGGTGCAAACACTCGACAAAACATGCTTTCATCTTCCTGAAGAACCCACATGAAGGCTTTCCCCTTGCTAGACGACATAAATGACTTGAACCTTTGCTTTGCCTTGCTTTTGTCTTCACACTGGGTCTGCTTCCCTCCACTAGGTGACCACATCAAGAATGGTCCCCCTGGCAGTGACAGAGTTTAGATATCCGGTTCCTGAGCCATGTTTTTCTGAGGTCCCCTACCTACATGATTACAGACACTGCTCATGCAGAAACTACCACGGATTTGGGTGTTAGGAGTTTTAACTAGAACAATTAATCTACATGTAGCAGTTAATCATGTGAGAAAATCCTAAAGACCTGGAGTTTGTGGGATTTTAAACAGTAGGTAACTAGCAAGTTGCCTTGAAGTAATCATTTAATGGTTATTGAATTGAGTTACATGGCTTTGAAGGGTTTCTCTACCAAAAAGAGACTGATGAGGCACTCCAGCAGCAGCACAGAGTCTAAGGTTTTAGTTTCACGGGGCTTACCATGTAGAGGAAGAAAAAGACACAAACATGTGAAAAAGGGAAATAACAAGAAATATTTAAATAATAGTATATATCACAATAGCATGTTGCCTTGTGGCCATTTTAAAACATGACTCTAAATTTTTCAACACTTTTCTGTTGAGAGGTGGTGTCTATGTCCCTTCCCTTTAAATCTGGAGGGGCTTGTGTTTCAACCGGTAGAACATGGTTGAAGTGACAGTATGTGACACCTGAAGCTAGATTATGCCACTTCTTCCTGGCTCTTTCGAATGGCCCTCTTGGCATACTCCCTCACAGAGCACAAATACTACGTTGTGGAAAGGTCTAGGACACGTGGAATGGCCACATGTATGTGCTGTGGTCTACTGTCCCAGCTGAGCCCAGACTTCAAGTTTTCTCAGCTGAGGGAGGCCCCAGACATGTGAGTGAAGAAGCCTCTGGATGATTCCAGCCCCAGCCCTGTGAGTCTTCCCAGCCAAGGCCCCAGACACCATGGAGGAGAAACAGGCCATCCTGGCTGTGCCCTATCCAAATCCCTACCTACAGGATCTGTGAACACAATAAAGTAGTTATTTTGCACCTCTAAGTTGGGATCTTTGTTATGTAGCTAGAGTAACTGGCACCCACCTTGATTCCAAACAAACTGTTCAAATTGTGTTATAAAAGTTCAACAGACAGCCCAATATGAACAGAGAACTCAATAAACATTTTTTTTGAGAATGTGTGGAAAACGGGAGAAAGCATTTTATGCTGGAAGGGAGAGGATAACTATAGAGAGAACAATGCGAGCCCCAAGGCTGAAGGCAGGCAAGGGACAAGTTTGATTCTCGGTGGAGTGAATAAACCAAATGGCCAGCAGGAAGGGTCCTGGCACGAAGTAATGGAGCCATGACGGTGGAAAGGAACATGGAAAGGAAGTTTGGTGCCAGACTGCAGAATGACTATCGCTTTTTCAATCTTGACAAACACAGTTCATATATGAGTTGTGAACCCAAACGCAGGGCCCCAGTTATTAATTGTAACACCAACCTACTATTCTCCTACTTAGAGCACATCACGATGCAAAGTAGTGATTTTAAGGTTAATCTCGAATCCTATATGAACAAAAAGTACCTGATTATTTACAGATGGCAGGCTTCCAAACTTGCCACCATAGACAGCCTTAGAGGCCACACCAAAGAGTTTGGATTTTCCCTGTAAGTGATAGGAGAAGGCTTCTTAATACCAGTTTGAAAATTCCAAAGTTATCTTTTCAAAGATGGTCTTGGAAACAATAAACAGTATGAATATGAAGAGAGAAAGAGAGACACACTGAGAGAAACCATTCGGAGGCCATTACTATAATCCAGGTCTGAAGTGACAACGGCCTGATGGAAGAATGTTGGAGAGGAAAGGACAGAGATTTTGTTTTTTTTAAAAAAACTTAAAGGTGCTTATTATTTAAAGGGTTGTATAAACGGGTTCGTCATTTAGGAATATTTTAAAGGGTCTCCTCAGGGATAAATGGGGTAGATGAGCACATTTCCATTGCTCTCTTCAATAACCTTCTGGGATTGCTTAGGGGAGACTCAGGCTGGGCTGCAATCAAAACATCACTGGCTGTCAAGCCAGGTATCCCCTCAGCAGATGTTTGATAACTCTGGGGCTCAGGACCAATTGGTAAGTAGCCATTTTCATACCATCTTAAAATGAAGGAAGGCAACAGCTGGAAACTTTGAAACGCAGCTCATCCGCTGAAGCAGTCTTCTGTTTTCAAAGCTGAGCTTTCTGCCATGGCCCTGAGAGGAGTCAGTGACCATGGAATGTTTCCACGGCTACCTCTCATCAGGGGATTTCTAGGGTGACAGGAGTCAAGTTCTCTCATTTTATAGATGAGGTGAAGTACATTTTGGGGGTTAACCATCCATAGTCACTTGTGAATTCAACCAGAAATAACATTCTTAAGTTAGAGGGTGGATTTTGTAGGAAAAGGCAAAGAGGTCAGGGGTTGGCGTTTCAAAGCTCTAGGCAATTTTGAAGAGAATCGCTTAAATTTCATCCCTATTAGGTTGTTTGGACCACACATGAGGAATAAAAAAGACTGTTAACTCATTCTTTTCAAATATTATAAAATTTTTCTAACATATAGAATAGTGGAGAGAAAAACTAATGAACTACCCAGATTTAGCAAATCTTCATTTTGCTACATTTCAGATCTTTTCCCCTTTAGAACTAAACTGTTACAGATTCAGCTAAAGTCCCTTCACCGCTCTCCCTAATCCCAGGCCTCTCTCCATCGTTAGTGATAAGCATTTCCTTGAATTTGAGGTGTATCATACTCATGCATGTTTCTATTCTTTAACTTCCTTTGAATGCATAAACAATTTAAAGGATTGTTTTAAATGTTTTAAATTTTACCTAAATATTATCACGCTGTCCCAATGG